CTTGCCAGGGAAGCTACTATTCCACCGAGCCAGCTCCCTGGCCCAAGAAATTTAAAAAAAAATTTTTTTTTTTCATTGCCTTTTACCTCAGAGATTAAAAAACAAAACAAAACAATTTCTAGGGGCCAGGGAGATGGCTCAGTGGAATAAGTGCTTCCCAGGCAAGCACAAGGACCTGAGTTCAATCCCTGGTTCCACCACAAAAAAAAAAACCCACAACAATTTATTAATAAAAAAATTAAACATGTTATGAAACCAATGCCAAAGCAAGGGAAGACATTGTTATTGATGGTACTTTACTAATAAAGAGAAAAAAATATTTAGCCTATTTCTTATACCTAGTTTACTTTCAAAACAGTACTACATTCCTTCATTTCTGAATCATCTATTAAATCAATACTTTCAGCAAGCAACTGGTACTTGACTTGCTGAGTTGCTTTTGATTACCTATTCAATATGAAATACAATGTATATCACTAGTTATGTTTATATTTTTGTAGTATTTTGGGGTTCTTGCCACAACTGAGCCTCCAAACAGTGGTTTTCTGTCCCTACCTTCTTTCCTCAAATTCCCTTTGTAGTAAGATTAAAACAGTCTACAAAGTTAAAACCTTTGTATTTTTAGAGAAAAATGATTAAGTGTATTTTAAATTATAACTACTTAAGATGTACTAAATAATCAATTAACTATGTTAACAATATAATGCACAGGATAAGAGCAATTTACCCTACTCATTTTCAATTTAAGAAGTTGGAAATAAAGCGTAAGTTAACTTTTTATCAGGTACACACAGTAACCGCCTACCAAATACAATTTCCAAAAAATTAGACTTAGGGGCCGGGGAGATGGCTCAGTAGAATAAGTACTTGCCTGGCAAGTGCAAGGGCATTAGTTCAACCCCTGGTTCTGAAAAAAAAAAAAAAAAAAAAATCAGACTTAGTGTTTAATCTTTAAATAAAACAAGTAGTTTGTTAATTTCAATGAATTTATTTACTGTTTATTTTGATTTTTTGAGACAGTCTCACTATGTAGTTCAAGCTGGCCTTAAACTCACTGTGTAGCCCAGGCTGCGTTAGCCACCCGAGCGCTGGAATACAAAAATCACTCCCAATCAGCTCCTTTCACTAACAAAGTTCCTCAAACACACAAAAGCATGCGTGGAAAATTCACTGATTACAATTATATTGAATTAATTGGGTATAAAAGTCTTTTAATTGCACCATATTTCATAAAAACTAAAATGTCTGTAATTATAAACTTATTTCATGTGACAACAGCCAAGAAAAAAAAGCTGCCAATTAAACTATAACATAATGTTTATTTATGCCATCCTGTCTTCAAGGAAAGTAAAATGTGACCAAATCTGTTTTAAAATGAAGAAAATACTGGGGGATGGGGGAAAGAAAATACTGAAGCCTTAAACATAATTCAGTTTAGAAGATAAAAGAAAAATTATCTATGGATAAAATAATCTTGGATATGAAGAATCTTTGATACCTACTGTATTATGATAGTATTCCAGCACAATTTTTAATGTGTGAGCTGAAAGAAATAAAGCTTTTTAGCAAATACATGTAAAATAAAATGAAAAGCATCAGCAAAAAGTACATCTTGAGATTAACCCACTATTCAATGATGAAAACAACTGTAAAGACCACTCAGAAACAGCTGGTCTTTTAGCATGAGAAAATCCCCTTCAAAATACTCCTCCTCACTTAAAGGCACTTACAGACAAAAGGTGCAGTGTAGGGTTACATTCCATCCCACCTGCTACACTAACAAAAAACTGGCTCTACCAGACAATATCTACAATTGAGAAATGTTAAGTATAGTAAAAGAAAAACAATATGCTCAAAACTGACAGATGGGGGAAGTACTTACAATTAACTTATACTTAAAAAATAGAAGTTGAAAGCGAACATGGAATCAATCAATACCTGTAGAGTCCTTTTCTCCCTTCCTTGGGAGAATCAGAGGCAGATGCAAGATTCTGTGCTAGCACATTTGTCACTCACATTGTACACAAGACATTTTAAAGTCTCCATTAAACATAATTAATGCTAAGAATTTTAAAATACTAAAACATTTATAGGTATGTTGTCATCCAAATGATTTCTGAAAATCCACCTATGACCATCCTGTGACAGTCTCTTTTGATAGTACTGACCCTTAAATTTAGGTAAACACCCCAATATAACATGATTTTCCTACAGATCTCATTACTTGCAGAATTTTCCTACACACATCAATTAACCAGAATCTAGCGTGCCAGCATCCCCAGCTAACTAAAACTTATGGTTTGACACAATTTTTATGACAAAAAAGGCAAATCTGCAGAAAAGAAGTTGACTTCAGGACTCTTGAAAAAGTCCTGTTTCTTTTATTCAGCAAAACCCAAGGGCCCATAAAAAACCAACCAAACAAAAAAAACCCCAAGGGCCCATAAAAGGTCCTCAGCCAATTAATCTTACCTGGCAGGGCTCCAAGCTGGCTGCGGTGGCCAGGTCAGTCTTGCCAAGTTTACTGAGATTTCCAGAAAGGTTTACAAAAAAAGTGGAGAAAAAATAGCTCCTTTGGCTTAGAAGCTTTTCTCTAAAATTCTTTCTCCTCTGGCTATTTGATCTCCTTCCTCTATTAGCCTATTGCCAACCACCTTTATCACGCAATGAGGCAAATGAAAGGCAAATTTTTCAGAAAAATAATCAGATGCCCACTCCAGCTTTAAAAATTATCTAGAGCACAACATTCCACATAAAAACAACAGATCAGTTGTTAAGGCACAATGCTGTCTTCACCCTCTAAAGATTCAAATGTATGTACTTACTGCAAGTAAAAAAGTATGAACATGTATTTGAAATATTTTTAAATTCTTGAAGGTGAAGGGTTTATTTCACTAATTCAAATTAATGTGAACTAGAGCTTCTATTTAGCAATTAAAGACTTTACTGTGCATTTACTCAAACATTTTCCTCCAAATATTTAAAATTTGCCTCCTGCTCAGGAATTAGTTTCTACAATAGTAAGCCGCTATTTTAGAAAGAGGGAAGGGACCCTTCAATCATCCTTAATTCACTGCCTCGTGTACTGATGCACAAATCTGTCCTCCAAACAGATGGAGAGGCTGGGATGGCGGTCTCTTAGCACCGCATCTCCTGTAGCTCCTTGCATGAAGCCTGGAAGTAGTTGGCATTTAATAAATGCCCATTAAACACTTCGGTCGTCTCGTAACACGATGAGGCATTCCAAAACACTTCACCCCTCCAGCGCCTGCCTCCAACTTCCGAATCCAGACGGCCTGTGGCCTTCCACTGATGAAATGAAACGTCGTCGCTCAAGACGCAAGATGAGGGCAAGGAAGCCACCCGATTCCATCTCGGAGGGCAGCAGATCCTCCATTCATCCTGCCAGGCTGTACATCCGGAGGCCTTTCCTACCCAGGTCTGGTAAGCTATTTCTCCGGCCAGGATCTGCAGACAGGGGCACGAGCCTCTGCCCCACCCCGCAGACAGCTAGGCGTCGGGACACCGGGCACGCCTGCGCAGAAGAACCTGCCTGCCACCCGCCCGGCCGCTGAAATCAGAAGGGTAACAATACCCCCTCAGAAAGACAGACAGAGTAGGCGGGGGTGGGTGGGTGGGGCACTAAGCGTCTGCGCGCTCCCTGGCGTCTTAGCGCGGCCCTGGCTCTCAACGGCCCCCACGTGAGCGCGCCCGCGCGCGCCACCACCAACTCTAGTTGACAGAGTCGCCTCACCTGAGCAGGGCTCCGCCCCCCTTCTCCTCGCTAGAGGAGGCGGTGACCCTTCTCGGATCAGACCTGTGTCGGAGGAGGCGGGAACGTCCAGGCTGGAGTCTCCGTGATGGGACTTCCTCCCCCTTCTGCCCGCCCCCGGCACACCCCTCTAGTCCCCTGCTCCTTCGGCCGGTTCGCTGTCACGCTCGGTGAGCACAGCGGCGGTAGCCGCCTACAGTAAACGGAAGTGACGCAAGCTCCCTTAGCCCCCCCCACCCGCTTCATTCCCCCGCCTCCTTAATGAGCTAGAACCAATCAGCAAATTGGGGGGCGGGCCCGGGATGGTTGTTCGGCCAGCCGGCACGGAACCTAGAGGAATTTACTCGGCCCCTTGAAAAACTGACCAATCCACGATCCCAGGAGTCTGGCTGTGTTTACTACCGACAGAATCCGTGATTGCTCCGACCAATCACCATTTACCTTACAATCTTAAAACTGTTATCAAACACCTTTTAAGGCGGGACTTACCACTAAGTGACTTAAATTTGGGCCATAGAAAAGTGACTGAGCTGCAGCTAATCCAAGCCCGTTGAGGTTGAGGCAAATAGGTTTTCCGCCTAATTTCTCTAATCACAATCGCGACTACTGGGAAGGCGGTCCCGAAGGGCAATACGCCTAGCTATTGGCTAGTTCTGAAAGATTTCCCCGCCTTCTTGGTGCAGGTCTCTGTAGTTGCGGGCTCACTCTGAGACATTCCTTCGTAGATCCCGCACATGGGCTGTTAGAAGTTGCTCCCAACTCGTAATGTTAGGAAGTATAAAATAAAAAGGAAAAAAAGAAAAGATAATCTGAAATTCTAAGAGGTTGTTTTAGGTTGAAATAAACCAAATATCTGGTGAAAACAATGAATTTAAAGTGGCGGCCTGTCTGGAAACGTTTGTCTCGTGCCGCAGGTCATGCAAATCGGCGGTCTCCAGAACCAACTTTGTAAACACTTATATCTCCCCCCAAATTTGTTTATCAACATATTTATTGATATATAAAAATTTATATGGAAGTACTAAGCTCTACCAGCGAGATCTCAAACGGACTCTAAAAGGGGAAAGATCAGAAAATAGCGAGCACTGGGGCGTCCGGGGCTCTCCGGCGCAAGCGCGAGGGAGCCCCCGAGCCCCCGCAGGTCTGGGCTCCCGGCACCAAGGCGAGGGGAAACCCTTCCTCCTCAGGGGAAGAGCGGCGAATGCGCGCAGGGGCCTTCTGTTGCGGAAACCTCCGGGAGACCAAGGCCGCCTGGCTAACGGACCGGGCTGTGCCTGAGCCAGGTGGTGCAGGGTGCGGGCAGAGACTTCTTTAAAAACGGACCCCCTTGCTTCCTCGGAACAGGACACTCTAGCCGGAAGTGGTGGTGCACATCTGTAATCCCAGCACTTGCTGAGGGAGGCATATACTTGTGAGTTACAGCCTGGGCTACAAAGTGATCTCAAGGCCAACCTCAACTGCATAGTGAGACCTGGTCTGAAAAAGATAATAATAATAATAATAATAATAATAATAATAATCGTGATAGCTGAACAGAAACAAGCAGTTGGAGCTGTTCCCCCAGATATTAGTGCACAATGGGAACATTGTCCATCGGGTTTATTTCTTTAAGATCTCAATGAAGTCTCATGATCAGTTTTATTCATCATGAGTCCCTAACGCTTTATAACACACATTTATTTTACCCCAAATAGCAGAAAGAAATAAAGCAAATATTGAATACTGATGAGCCACGCAGATAGCTCAGCAGACTAAAGTGCCTGCTTAGGCAGAATGCAGCGGCCAGGGTTCGATCCCTGGCATGCCCTGCTGTTCCTGCCCCTGGGGCGCGCTGAGCCAGTGATTGAAACCGGGAGTGGTGGCACATGCCTGTAATCCCAGCGGTTGGGAGGCTGAAAACAGGAGGATCACTATGAGTCCTATCTATGTAGTGAGACCCTGTAGACCCTGTGCTAAAATACAAAAAAAAAAAAAAAGGGGGGGCCAGGGAGATGGCTCAGTGGAATAAGCGCTTCCCTGGCAAAGCACAAGGGCCTGAGTTCAATACCCAGTTCCACCAAAAATAAATAAATTAAAAAAAAAAAAAAAAAGCAAATATTGAGTACTGTCACTAAACCAGTAGGGTCTCTATGCTAATTCTCTAAGATAGACAGTATCTCAAACTTAGAAACTAGCAAAAAGTTAAAATGATTTGTAAATGGGTACATTTCCATTCTATTGACAGGGTAATCACTGATGCTATCTTTGAAAATAAGAAAGATAGTAGTGTCTAACAAAATTAAGCATTTACTCTTTTTTAGCTGGCATTTTCTTTTTAGGATTATATGCTGTTGAAATACACAATGTGGAAATATACAAAAGTGGAAAAATATATCTGACGCTGTTTGCCACAGTTTTGGGGGGCATCCTCAATTTGTATCTACAGAAGATATATACAGATAGATAGATATAGATATAGATAGATATATCACTAATGATTTCACGTACATACAAAACAAAATACAAAATAAGAACCAAAGGGCTGGCTGGTGTAGGTCAGTGGTAGAATAAGGCTCTGGGTTCAATCCCTAGCATCCTCCACACTCAAGAAACAAGCAATCAAAAAAGCCTTCAAGGGCTAGGGAGATAGTTCGATGGTCTAAGCACCTCCCTGGCAAATGAAAGGACCTGGATTTAATTCCCAGTAACGCATGCTGTACCAGTGCTGAGCCAGACCCTGAACCTGGGCATGGTGGCTATCCCGATAGTCCCCTTGGAGGCTGAGACAAGAGGATCACTGAGTCCAAGCTGCTTAGTGAGACCCTGTACCAAAGAAATAAATCTGCTTTTTTTCTTTCATTTATATATTTGGTACAGGGTCTCATTAGGCAGACCAGACTCGTGGCGTTCCTCCTGTTTTCAACCTCCCCAGTGCTGGGATTACAGGCATGCACCACCATGCCTGGACTCTGTTATGGGCTCAGTGTACCCTGCGGGTGGGTCGGCACAGCATGTGGGACCCAATCCCTGGTTCCTGTGCTTGCCAAAGCAGGCACTTATTTCTCTGAGCCATCTCACCAGCTCAAATAAATAAATTTTTTTAAAAAAAGCCTGCATGTGGAGGTATACATAAAAGTTTATAAATATATAGCTAAGTATGAAAGGATACTATCAAACTATTTCACCATTGTTACCTTGTCACCAGACAGTATCTGAGAGGTGCCTAAAAGCTGGAGAGTAAGACTTCAGTTTGCCCCTACATTGAGAGTAGGTTCACGGGGACAACCCATTCATCCTCCCCTCCTGTCCCTCTCTTGGACAGGAACTTTCTTTCCCTCTATAAATATGTTCTGCCAAAAAAAAAAAAAAAAAATAGTAGGTTCATCATCTTCCATCACAGAAATGTATTTCAGGACTTGTGAGTGGGATAGATAGATTGATTAGACAGAGTTAAGCTCATACAGAGCTTCTCAGAAAAGCTCTTCTGAGAAAATAGAGTATGAGCACTCAAAGAGAAGCATTATGATATGAGGTGGGAATATTTGCGTTTTTGGGGGGGTGTCCTCAAGACAGATGATCTAGGATGGATATTTTTAGTGTCTGTCAGGTGGGCTGGTCTATAGGAGGAAAAGTAGACTCAAACTTATAGGTGAAAGGGATAGGTCAAATTTACAGGCTTATATCTTTTAAGACTCAGGAATTTGAGGGTTGGGGGGGGATATAAACTAAGGTAACTTTGTATCCTGAATCTTCAGTTTTCTTAAAAGGTCTCTTTCTCTTTTTTCCCTCTCTCCCCCATCCCTCCTGTCCCCCCACCTTTCAAAATGGGATCCTGTTGAGTCACTAAATTAGCAGGCTGGGCTTGAATTAGCAAACTTCCTCTCTCAACCTCCAAGAGTGCCTTGTCTCCTTCTACCCATCTTTATTTCTCCTGTCATATTGGAACTGCATCAAAGGTTTGGGGTTTAAGGAAATGATTTTAAAGGCTCAAAAACGGGGTTCGATCCCCGGCATGCTGTGTTGGCCCCGCCCCCAGGGTGAGCTGAGATGGGCGATTAAGACTGGACATGGTGGTGTGGGCCTATAATCCCAGCACTTGGGAGGTTGAAAACAGGAGGATCACTATGAGTCCAATCTCTGTAGTGAGACCCTATAGACCCTGTACTAAATACATAAAAAAGGAAATGATTTTAAAAGACCTTCTTAATTACTATATTAATTCTTACAACAGATATTACTTTATTAGCATTTATGAGGATCAGCATTGTAGATGATGTTGGTTTTTAAATGATTAGCAAAATTCTTTTGAAAGTGGCTTCGTTATTTTTCTCTTGTTGTTGGGAAGACACCAGACACCCAGAATTAAGGAAGGAAAGGTTTATTTAGCTCACAGTTAGTGAAGGTTTCAGTCCATAATGTTCTGGCTCCAAGGCAGAGTGCCACATGGCAGAAGGCAACATTTCACAGTGGTGGAAAACAGCAAAGAGCAAAGGGAGGGGCAGGAGCTGGGCTGTGGCAACAGAGGCAAGCCTCTCTCTCTTTTATATATTGTAATGCAGATTACCCACCCCAGGGCAGGAATAGCACACCAATAATCCCAACATTGGATCAAGAATAATCACAAACTCTAGAAGCCATCCCATGACTGCATAAAGCTTTGGAGGGACAATTAGACACAAACCATAACAAAAAGTAATCAAAACTTTTCAATAAAAGTATCAATATGAGGACTGGCGAGATAGCTCAGTGGACTAAGCGCCTGCTTAGGCAAGTGCAGGGACCAGGGTTCAATCCCCAGCACCACAAGCCTTGCCAGCCCCAATCCTGGGC